CATACCATTCTCTACCAAGTCAGCGCCTTAATGTGCGCAATTATTTCCTCAAGCTCTGATGGTATCCTGTACCAGCTAAGGAGGAAGAAGTTTTATCATTTCTTTAGACCTTGCAACGCGTCCCGCAATCCCGAGAATAGCAGATCAATCGCCTGGCATAATTGTTGAGAAGCCGTCGCCTCCGGACACTCAGGACAACACCATTGGCCACCGTTTATACATATTTGCGGCGAATTTGCGGCGTCCACTATATCGATACAGGCCTTTGGAGAGACAGGGAAGAGATCATCTTACGGTTCTCGGCCAGATGGTCACTGATTCCGATTGTGAGTCTGTTTCATCCAGGCCGAAACGTTCAGGTCATGCTTTTGCTGACGTGCTCTCGTAGTGCGCTAGTCGGTTCCTGGCTATATTCAATTCCCTCGTTCTACATACGATACACATGGTCCAAGCGATTTTGCATTGAATGTGACTGTGGAACTTCATCACACTAGTCATACTCTTCCATTAGCTACAGTCTCACCTGCCGAAGCTGGGTGGTGATTCCGTTATCTGTTGCTGATTGATACAAGCAAGGCGGGTCTTTGAGGATAAATACTCACACAACAGTTTTACAACTTGGTCACGAGCGTAGACCCTGTGACTATTGGACTGTGTTGCCTCCACCTTTACGGCCTCATTGATCCACATAAAACAAGCATCACAATGCAAGGCTACGCTTTCTCGCCTTCGAATGGTCCCCCCAGAGAGGGGCACAAGAGTAAGTCGCCCTTTTGGAGATCTTTTCGTCAATTCAGATGAATAACTTGCTCACAATGTAGACTACGTATTTGTTGATGAACATAATAGGCACAAGCGGCTGAAAGGTTTGTCCTTCTCTTCTTTTTCTGTATCCTCTTTTCCCTCCGGTTCCTACTTCAGTTCTGAACTGTAAGGCTGAGCATCGTTTGTTCCGGTTGTTGACTTATGCGTTGCTAGTAATGCGAGCCTGCAATGGCTGCAGAAAGCGGAAAATAAAGTGTGACGCTGCCACAACGAATACCTGGCCTTGCTCAGCTTGCACTCGGTTGAAGCTCGTATGCGTTCCTCCTACCATTGGACAGGATGGCGACTTCCAGTCGGAGCAAGGTCTTGAGGCAACTTCAATGGGCGCCTTAGGAGCTTCTCATGCGACTTCAGCCTCGCATTATTCCTATACAATGCCTCAGAGCTTCGGCGCTGGAATCCAGCCTACTGCCGGAAATGGTCAGTCCTATAGCGACGGTGCCGGAATCATGTCTCAATATGTACCGACCGGTCCCACCCAACACAATATCTATGAAGTACGGTCATCGCATTTACCCGTGACAAGCCATTCCTTCCAGCATGCCCAAGTATTTCCCACCACTCCAAATCATGATCTTGATAACTCGAACACTGGCATTTTCTCGGACGACGATCAATCTACTGCCGAGAACCTTAGCGAGGTTCTGGGTGAATTGAAAATCGACGAAACTGGTATCGGTAAGATTGATAGTGTCAGTCCTTTGGCGTTAAGAGAAGAATGCTGATATTGCAAATCAAGCTCCCTATATTCGACAACAACGAAAAGAGCGATTGGAAGCGGAAGCTCCAGTTCAGGATGAAATTGAGGAAAGACTGCCACCTCTAAGCACTGGGGCGGGCTCCACCATCCGTATCCCCCCGGAGCTAATGCCCTCCGATGACGAAGTGATGAATTACTTCAAGATTTACTTTAACGATATACATCCTTACGTTCCTGTGGTTCATCGGTCCCACCTTTACTACCAATGGCAGAATGAACGGAGTTCCATATCTCCTCTACTCCTCGAAGCACTTTTCGCTTGTGCCGGCAGGTTATCAGACGATCCGGCTCAGGGCGCACAGTGGCTCGCATTGGCAAACAGTAAGTTTAGTCACTTTGTATGCGTTGCATGGAGCACAGACAGTAAATAACCAATGCTCATACAATGATAGGGCATGAGTCCAGTTTCATGGATGTACCACGCTTAAGCACGATTCAGGCTTTGCTTTTGCTATTGAAAGCTCGAGAGTCTCTGCCAAAGAAGGGTTATTATTATCGTTCGTGGCAAACTGTGAAAACAATTGTGTCGATGTCGAAGGATTTAGACATCCATGAACATTACAATACCCACGCACAGGGCAGACCTTGTGAGATGGATCCAGTGGAGTGTCTTGTGCAGACAAGAGTATGGCAAGCCCTCTTGGTTGTCGAAGTGATGATCGGTGGACCACAAGGTATGTCTATATCCGCTAACGTGACTTCGTTGGCTTTGACTGCTTTGACTGATCTCGTTAGGTCGATCGGATTATGGGGTAGATCCAGAGACCGTAGATATGCGGCCCGCTCTAGATATCGAGGGCCTTGACCAGTTCGAAATCGACCGCGCGAGGCAATATGCATACTTTGTCAGAAACGCCTATCATATCCGTTTGATCACCGATATATATCACAAAATCAAGAAGCAGAAGGACTGGGGAGCCAATCCTAGATTTGTTGAAAAAAACCCCCTTTTTACCGATTGGCTCCAAAGCCTCCCCCAAGACTTACAGGTTAATTATCCTAGCGATGGTTCGCCGCCATGGATACCCTCACATTTTGTGGGAAATATGCACTCGCATTGCCATCTCGGCATCATCTTACTACATCGGCCACAGTTGTTAGCGTCCAAGTCTTTTGCGGCCGGCGGAGGATGGAAGATTCACATGGCGTTGTGCTATTCCTCCGCAAAGAGCCTGTGTAGGCTTCAGGAAGGTATCTTAGACCGGTTCGGCCTGCGCGGTCTTCTGTTCATGCAAAGAGGTATCAATTTCGCAATATACTGCATTCTGACATGCACTATGCTGCATCTGGTAAGTGTAACGTGATTGTGCTATCTGGTACTGCATTAACTCTTCCAAGATTGCTATCACGTCCCCTGATCCTCATTTTCATACGGATGCGAGGGACTACTTCACGCGACACATGCGTATCCTTGAGAAATGTTCTTCGGCTTGGCCTATGCCCGAAATACAGGCACAGATTGACTCCCTGCGGCTCGCGTTCTCCGCTGACATCAATCGCCCTTTCGAACTCAAATCTACATTTCCTTACGGGAGCCCCTCGGAACCGTACCATCCCAGCCCACCACTTGGGTCAAATTACCATGCTCATTTGGACCAGGTTCCAAGTAATGTACAGAACAGAGTGTGTTATGCTTACCCAATGACCCCTCCAATCTCGGCTGGTACTGAGGACTCAAAGCCTGACTCAAGTCAGCTTCAACCTTTGGGAATGCTTGCACCGCACCCACATCACAGTCATTCGGTAGATGCTCCCTTAGTTGACGAAAATAACTGGGATCCCACTCGAATCATAAAGTATGTATTTCCCTGCCTGTTTCATTGTTTGAGAGTTGTTCGCTGACGTCTTCATCAGCCAGTGGGACCTGGCATTCCCTGCCGGCCCGTCAAATGTGAGTACAAACTCGCCGCCGATGGGCATAGACCATTCTACACAAGGAACCACTGGTGTATCGAACCAGTTTCCTGTTCACTATGAGACACATACGAAAGTCTCTTCGATCGCAGCTTCCCAACCTCTTCCTCAAACTCAGTTCAATGGACACCCAGTCCTGTTCACAGCACGTGACTGGCAACAGAGCGTTGCAAGTGTATATGATCCTAATGGCCTGAAGCGGAGGTGGGCACACTCAGTTGATACTGGCGAGCAGAGTAACACTAAACGCCAGCGGTGAAAATCATTGTGCTCATGTTCACTATGCTTCACCCCACCTTCTTGGCTCGTTATCTGCAAACCTTTCATTTGAGCCTATAAGACAAATGTCATGGAGAATCATGGCTTATTCGTCTCGTTCTCTCATTACTGGAATAGTCTCTCTCACCTCTAGGCCCTGCAAATTGTAGGGCCACGGCTCCTATCATACAATCCCGAGAGGGTCAAGATCTCCAGAGATTAATGTGTCGACTTGCCAGCCTTATAGTCAACTCTGTAGTATATAAATTCTATTTGACCACAAGATATTTCATATAATACGGTAGATACATGGTATGGTGGCAACTGGAATACCCGTCTACAAAGTCCTTGATGTAACATGTCAAAAGCCTAATGCAATGGAAGTCTGTATAGATCACTATTCTTAGGAGAAAAACTCAATGCATAAGCTTAAAAAACCTTGCCTTCCATCGAGGAAGTCGCCAAATTGGGCTACAGAAAATGCCTGCGTATATGGAGACCGGCCGGAAAACAATCATCAGCCCTTCATGCTCTCGTCATAAGAGGCTAGAAGGAAAGCCGTGACAAGAGATGATAACGAACTGTCATCCAACTCGGGTAAGTGAGAAAGCAGTGTCAAGAATATCGAACTGGGTCACCAAAATGAATCTAAGCTTACTAAGTCATGTGTACTTAGTTGCGCCGACTGATGCCAATACGTTCCTCCCGAGAGCGGACAATTCTTGCTTTGTCTCCAGGTAATGGTTTCAATTCATCATTCGGGTCGATGGCAGTATGATTCAAGGTGCTTTTGACGGATTCATGCGCGTGGGCTTGAGTTTCTTCTCTGCGCTTGCGAAGCCGCATGTCTTCAAGCTTTGCGACATCTTCCGACGTGATTGCGATAGCCGTAGGCTTGCGACGTAGCATTCTGGAATATACACTCAGGCAAGTCTAAAGAGAAAGAAACTCGGATCTAGGATTTGACAAGAGTGGACTGGATACCACGTGATTGGCACGTGATGGATTTTCAATTCCCCAGAGCTACCCGTTGTAATCAAGGACAAATACTTAAGAAATTTCTCATCATCTCCGCCAAACACAGCGGGGAAAATGTTCCAAACGAAGTTGAGGTTTCTGGCGAGCTGCCGTGACCGTAGGACGCCAGCTGATGGAATCATTACCTCTGTACGATACTTTACGCTCTCCCGTCAGCAGGCAAATAATCACTCCAGTCAAAAAAGTACGTGAAGAATATAGCATTATGCACTGTTTCCCAGTACGGTATCGTTTACGTCTCTTTACTGATATTTGTATCATTGACTGTACAGATCATCGCAATGCAGCAACTCGATCTGTTTCTCAGGTTTCTGCATCCTCTTCCGCTGCCTCTGGGACAGTCAGTAATTCAAATGTGAATGTCACTTCTCGTCGGAATTCACCCCATCGGGTAATTGACGCAAGATCGCTCGCTGTTCCGAAAGCCGGCAGTCTATCGTCCAATATTATTCGGAGCCCTCGTTTTCAGAGATCTAGGACTGGAGCGCAAACTCGCGGTCGTAGATCCGGGACTATACATCGCACTCAGACTGCCGTACCCAAGGGGCGGAAGCAGGGTAACGGGAGGGCACAGCGAAAGCGCACAGACGTTGAGGAGGTGGACGAAATCTCGCAGGCTGAGGTTGAAGAAGCATATGTCCAACTGTCCAAGGCATCCGTGCCTGTTCCTACTCGCTATACACCGCAACCCCCTGAGTCTAATTTGACGGAGACTTGGCCATCTTTACCGACAGGCGTCACTGCCAGGACTGCAGGAGTTGTTGAAAAGCTTTCTTGGCTGAGCGACCGCTTCCCGAATGGCTATGTGCCCCCTCATGAACTGGGCAAGCGACTTTTCGAAGGTCGAAGCGTCCAGTTTTTCAATCAGGATGAAAAGAATAATGCTGTGGCGGAGGCGCAAAAGCTTGCACGAAAACGTGCCGATACCCTCTCACAGAGAAAAGGAGATCTTGTGGAACCTGAAGATGTGGGTTTTAAGCAGATGAGTGCCCTGGACAAGAGAGCCTTGGTCGAAAAGCTTGTTCAAGGAAACTACCCAAAACTGGAGATAGTATTGGCCGATAAGCCATCTGTCCTTGCTGGGGTTGTGAAGAACCTCAATAATAATGAGACGTACCGGACTGCCGGAAAGAGTTCACAACTTATCTCAAAAGTTGAATCACTTCTTGCTTCAGGTCGCCCTGCATCCGCGAAAAGACTCTGAAAGCGTCCTGGTGAAGGAAGGCTCCAGAGTGAACTGATTTCTCTTGCTTCAACTTCCATCAATTCCCAGTGTCTACGTTTTTTCCGCTTGTACGTATCTTCTGTATTTTTAAGGGGGACCCGTTGGCTAAATATGCGACACTGATGATAGTCCTATTGAGAACTACTATAGCTGGCATATTCGACAAAATGATAATCTGACTATACTCGTTCTAATGCCTTTTTTGCAGCATCAAACAATTCTTTCACCTCTTTCTGTCCCTTCTCTGCTAGCCGTTCCATTTGGTCCTGAGCCTTGCGAACGTCATCTGGCCTGGCTAGTTTCTTCTTCTGCATATCTTGAAGGCGCTTATGACTAACACTCCTCGATTCGCGAACTGCACCAGCTGCCTTTTCCATGGCCGCTCTAGCAGCAACCACCGTCTGTTCACGTAATTCTTTCGTGGGCGGCGGAATCGATATATTCAGTTGAAGAATATTATGAGGGTCAGGTTGTGGTGTTAGAGACAAATCGGAAGAAAGAATGGCAGATGAGATCGGCTTCAAGTGCTAGGACGAAAATATTATTAGCAACCCTGAGTAGACGCCACGCGAGTTCAACAATTAGTTTGGATCTGAATGAAGTCCTACCTCTTCCTCTGTAGCCAATATAGTAACCATCCGCCCTCCCTTGGGAACAACCTGCGCCAGCTCACCCAGTCTTATTGTTTCCTTGCCTCCTTTGCTCAAAGACACTCTCAAATCTTCAAGTGATTCCGTGTTGAAACGTCCACCCATGCGTAATTTGGAAAGCTCATCTTTAAGTCGGGCCACCGCAGCCACGATGCCATTTTCTAGCGAAGAAAGATCATAGGGAGCTTCCAACAAAATGCTCGACTCTGTGTTCGCCCCAGTGAGTTTCCGAGACTTATCTTTTTTCTTGCACAGAGAGGCAGAATTAGAGAAGCTTCGAGTTGTGAGATTGGATCGCTTAGAGGGAGTCGGGAACCGCCAGGGTTGAGATGCGTCAAGCACGGTTGCGCTGAAATTTGCAGAATAAAAAGATCGAGGAATGTCAGAAAGAATTGAGAGTCGTTGTACCCGCTGCATCTTCTAGAATTTGCATAGATGGTGAGCTGTTGGAAGTATTATTTGTAGCGAATAAAAGTTGGGGATCTTAGAATTCAACATACATGCTTCATCAAACACTAGCGCAATGTCAACCAGGATATGATACCTTTTTTAGCACACAGCACTTTTCCCGATAAATAGACTTAACAGGCCTTTAATGGGTGAAGGTGGAGTCATTATTCCAGTTTACTGATTAAATAGCAGAGCATATAAATGGTTTGTATAAAGGGGAGGAAATTTCACTACCTCATCATCGCACACGTCGCGAGTCAGCTTTGACATCACCTATGATGTCTACCATATGTCTAAGCCAAAAAGCAAATATTGAATTCGATAGAAGTACTAGGCTCATCAAATCATTAATTTCTTCCCCGGACGGATTTCATCTAATCTAGAATGAACTTTTAGATAATGTGCACCAAATCAAGGGGCACAAGACATGAGAAGGGACAAAAAGAAACCGGAGGAGAAATAGAGCACATTTCCGTACATGGATCGTTGGGAATGGTTGTAACAAGCCCTAGAGACAAATTTCGATCTCTTCAGATCGCAAAACACATACGCAGGGAACCGTAATACCGAGGAAGAGAATGAGACGAGTGACTGACTGATAACAACTCAAGAAAGTTCGTAGCATTCAGATTACCGGGTGGCCATAGCCTTGGTGATGAGTCTCTTGAGCGCGAGTTCCTTCTTCTTGAAATCCTCAGGGGCAGAATCTTCAATCTCAAGTTGAGCCATAGCGTCACTCAGTGCAGACTCGATCTTTTCCTTGTTGCCGCGCTTGAGCTTCAGGGACATGGTAGGGTCTGAGATGATCTCTTCAACGCGAGAAATGTAAGATTCGAGCTGCTGACGAGACTCGAATTTCTTGGTAAACGCCTCGTCGCTCGACTTGAATTTGGCAGCGTCTATAGCAATGTTAGGGTCGCTTCTTTTAAAGGACACAGAGAGACAACGCAGTCTACATACCATCAATCATCTGCTCAATTTCCGTGGTGGAGAGCTTGCCGACGGCGTTGGAGATAGTAATGTTGGCGCTACGGCCAGAAGACTTCTCCGTAGCGGTGACCTTAAGGATACCGTTGACATCGACCTCGAAAACAACTTCAAGAGCGGCCTCGCCAGCCTTCATAGGAGGGATAGGAGCGAGAGTAAACTCGCCCAGGGAAGTATTGTCTACACAGTTCGTGCGCTCACCCTGATAAACTGGGAACTGGACGGTCGTCTGGTTGTCTACAACAGTCGTAAAGGTGCGCTTCTTGATGGTGGGGACAGTTTGACCGCGGGCAACAACGGGGGCGAAAATATTGCCTTCCATGGCAACACCAAGGGAAAGGGGAACGACATCCAGAAGGAGCAAGTCCTGAGTTTCAGCCGAGGTGGCCTTACCAGAAAGAATGCCAGCTTGCACGGCGGCACCATAAGCTACGGCCTCATCTGGGTTAATGCTCTACACCAACGTTAGTTTGAGGACACGACCGGCAACGTTGGAGGATTGATGCCAACTGACCTTCTCAAGCTTCTTGCCGTCGAAGAAGTCACTGAGGAGCTTCTGGATCCGAGGGATACGGGTGGAGCCACCGACGAGCACAATCTCGTCAACCTGCCGCTTCTCAAGGCCAGAGTCCTTGAGAACTTGTTGCACTGGCTCGAGGGTGCCAGAGAAAGACTTAGCGTTGAGATCCTCAAAGCGGGCACGAGTGATAGACGAGTTGAAATCCTCTCCATCGAACAAAGAGTCAATCTCAACAGTTGTCTGTGTGGCGTTAGACAGGGTACGCTTGGCACGCTCGCAGGCCGTTCTCAAACGGCGAAGAGCCCTGGCATCGCCTGAGAGATCCTTTCCAGTCTTCTTCTGGAATTCCTTCTTGAAGTGGTCAAGGAGGTTAGTGTCAAAATCTTGTCCACCGAGATGAGTATCACCGGCTGTGGCCTTAACAGTGAAAACACCTCCTTGGATGTTGAGAAGAGACACATCGAAAGTGCCTCCACCAAGATCATAGATCAGGACATTACGTTCCTTTTCAGACTTCCCGGAGCCGAGTCCATAGGCGATAGCGGCAGCAGTGGGCTCATTGATGATGCGGAGAACATTCAAACCGGCAATGGCACCAGCATCCTTCGTCGCCTGACGTTGATTATCGTTGAAATAAGCTGGCACGGTGATGACAGCCTTCTCGACCTTCTTTCCAAGCTTGGTCTCTGCGACTTCTTTCATCTATCAAATCGGAACAAGTCAACGATGCACGAGAAGAATATATTGGGTAGATCGGCGGTATACCTTCATCAAGACCATAGAAGAGATTTCCTGGGGAGAAAACGTCTTGTTTTCACCAAGGTATTCAACCTCGACAACGGGGTTTCCGCCCTGGTCAACAACCTTGAAAGGCCACGACTCGATATCCTTCTTCACGATGGGATCTTCATAACGCCGACCAATGAGACGCCTAGGTTTGTAAATAAAAGAAGCTTACATGGGAGAGGTAGACAATGCAAGAGACTTGCTTAGTCCTCACTCACTTGATGTCGAAAATGGTGTTCTTCGGATTCATAGCCGCCTGGTTCTTGGCTGCCTCACCAATCAAGCGCTCTTTCTCGGTGAAAGAAACGAATGACGGGGTTGTGTAACTACCCTGCTCGTTGGCAACTGTAGGATGAGTCTAGGTCAGAGCCTATTCCTGCCGAATCTGGTGCCTTTGAAAAACATACTGATCTCAACGTTGGTGCCTTCATAGTTGGCGACGCAGGAGTAGGTTGTGCCTGGATGAATGTCTTAGCAAAACTCAATTTCTTCGTGAAGAGCGTGTTATGGTATATGGGTGAATTCAAAAAATAAAAATAAAAATAAATCAGATGCCTTACCAAGGTCGATACCGATGGCGCCTTCGTAGACTTCGTCCGACATATTGCTTTCAATTCGCACTGAATATCAACAAAGAAAAATTGAAGAAATTTGCAGGATATGAATTGAGAGCACCTGAAAGGAGGTGGGAAGAGTTTGGGGGGGGGGAGGATAAGAAAATTGAACGAAGGGTCAGTGTGGGAGCGGTTGATCTTTTAAGACCGAACCCACATCGCCTTTTTTTCACTTTTTTTTTTTTTTCCAATTTTCCTTTTTGTTTCGCCTCCCGTCGACTTTTCTTCTCCCCAATTCAGCCCCATGGTTAGAGAAGAAGATTCCAATGTCGACGGCCATGGTTATAGTAATCTCAACCATTACCGAGACTATAAAATTCTTAGCAATGGCAAATACTTATTGAGATTTGAGCTATTGTTCTAATCATACTCTGTAGTACATAGATTTAATGTCTACTACTTAAAAGATTCATCGGGTCCTAAATATGGTCTAGTCCCTTATTTTCGATGCCCTCTTCAGCTTGTGACCACATTCAAGTTACTAACTTCTCGTACCTGCTACCAAAGACATCTTGCTTGAGGATAGGCGTGTAAGACTGTGTGCAAGTGTAATGGAAAGGCAATCTTATATTATCCAATCAACGTTATTTTAGATACGGCAGTGCCTTAAAAGACTCGATCACGTATATTACAGAGTGCGTGAGGATTCTTAGGTACCTTAGACAAAGAAAACTGGGATATCCGCAGTGTATGGACGTCTTTCCCAAAGAGGAAGAAAGATAATTGATAATGGTAGGAATCAACTTAGGCATCGTACTTAGGATATCGGTATTTACGCTGCTCCTAAAAGTCGTACTATAAGGACTTGGCTGTTAGCTACCCACATAAGTATAATAACCACTGGTTCCATGTCCTGTACGTTGTACCTTAAGCAGCAGTTAGCACCTGTAGAGCACAAAACTATTATATACTTAGTACCCCTCAGAGATACTAAGGCATGACCAAGTCCTACATCTATGATGAGAGGCTAGGCTTGATCGGAATAGTAAAAGCTGATGTTAGAGAGAAAAATATTCCATGAAGTCCTCTCTTTTAATACTTTTTCCGAAACTTAAGTAGAGCTAAATATTTCAGTGTGACATGGTTTTTCAATATGTTTTATCTACTATCTGGGCCTCCATAGCTACTAAGTACGAATTATTGCAGACTTAGATGCGTACCACTCGAAGGAAGATACAGAGAATGCTGTCAGAGAGGACGTAAATAATTTGCAGTTCTGTAGTCTTATTATCACGTCTCATACTTCAATTCTAACGTACAATAGCAAGTGCTTATTATCAGCAGGGTGCCTCTCAGAGCTGAGTACCTAAGGTACCTAAAGTACGTACCTAGACTGCTCAAGTTGCAAAGTGGTCCCACACCAAGCAACCAAGTTATTGTCCTCCGTTATCTTAACTGGAATTTTCTTTAACCTGGTCAGTAATAATATATTAACTATAAACCCATTTGCCAAATCCATACCACATGTGGTTCTGAAACCTGAATAGCAGCCTCTTGACCACAGTCACTACTGGAAATTAAGAGCCAACTCTCGCTACAACTATTATCCACGCACGAGCTCTATCAAGCTGGCTCCAATCAAGTTTAGAAGTCCAAATTTGTACGTGTCCCCTGCGCACCTCATCAGAATTCTGCCTCAGTAACTCTATGGCATATGGCCTCTCTGGAAACAAAGACAGATACCGAGTAAGGTGCTAAATGACGGTCAGGCCGATATTCTGAAATCCCAATCGAAACGATCCAGACTCCGCACTTCTCCAGATGGATATCGATTTAAGCAGGAGGAACAAAAAGCCCCGCCTTCTGTTAGAATCCGAAAGAGAAAGGCTTGAGGAATTCATTGACTCCATACACTACTCAGCGAGGTACGAGCATCCGACCCACGTACACAAGGCCCGAATTGACAGGCACAGGTATTCTGACGACCAGTTTGAGTACCGACATGTTCAGCTTCCCAAAAATATGCTGAAGAAGATTCCCGCCGACTATTTCGATAGCTCAAAAGGAACGCTGAAATTGCTATGGGAGGAAGAATGGAGGGCACTCGGTATCACTCAGGTACTACGAAGTGCACTGCGAAACTCGCGTTCTGCCACACTGCGGCTAATCTTGTTTATCTAGAGTCTGGGGTGGGAACATTACGAGGTCCATGAGCCAGAGCCACATATCCTCCTTTTTAAGTAAGCACTTGATGATGCATGGAGTACTCTATGATGAACTGATGGCTTCTTAGGCGGCCCCTGAATTATCAACCTCCGGTTTCCCAGTGACTATGGTAATTGATAGATACATATTGCGAGCCCAAATGATTTCACATTGAGCACTGACGGGCGCACAGTCCGATTTAAGTTATGGGTATACAACAAGGAAGGTTATTCCAGGGCAGGGCAACAATGGTTATACACCGTTTGAGCCATGGAAATGAAAAATCACTCTGGCTGTCGCACATGAGTGAGATTCTTGATACCAACGTACGCTGAAACCTTTTGCTTTTCTTTTTCTCTTTCTCCTTGTCCTTCTACGTCCCGGTGCGATGCCTTTGACACGCGGCTTGACTTCGTGTGATTGGAAGAAATTTCAGCTACGTTTCTGGGCGATCACCGCCCCCTCTGGGTAGTCGCGAATTTGCTGCTGATTCTGGGCCTGCCAATCACCTAGATCATGATGTCTGACCCATTCGAGCTTATGGAATATAGCTGGAGTTTCTTGCCTTTACATCCACGATTGGAGAAATGGATATCAGTCGCACGATAAATCTATATGTTGCTGCACTAGACATTTGCAGATGGCTCTGGCATAATGAATAACCCTTGCCCCATGAGCAACCTCATACTAACAGCGACCTATTGCCGATTTTCGATTGCCCAAAATATCCGACTTGCTTCTTCACACTCTCTGCTCATTCAAGTGAAGATTGGCAGGTATACTTCCTCTCCCGCAGGTGCTCTCGTGTGCGCTCGCGTATTCGATTTGCGTATAACCTAAATTTCGGTAATTAAAACCCGCGTGTCTCGAACTCGATCCTCAAAGCTATGGCGGCTGTTCCGTAGAATTTTAGAAACAATGCTGCCGGGTATAGCGCTAAAGCTTGGTGAAGGGCCGAGTTCTGAACATTACACCTCGTCAGAAGCAAGGAGAACTGTGAATGATTATCTGCTTCATTGGGTACGCATGCATCTAATTGACAGCCTGAGAATGCGAAAGATGTCGTGAAAATTTGTTACTGGAATATCTATACGCAGCATTATCAAGACCCCTGCAAGCCCTACGGAATCGGCTACTTGCACTACTCTGGAACTATCTAGCGGCTGTGCTCCCAAGTTCTTTTATGATACTTATGCTCAAGCTGTATGCTTGGTACAAATCCTGGAAGGCCTTTGTCGTCCCTATATTATGCTTCCCCGCGCTTCCAAGAAAGAGGACTCTTAATCATCTGTAAGGCTAGGTATAGATCATAAACACCTTGAATCACAGTCATTTTCCGCACGTCTGAATGTGATTGGCCGACGTGACCACTCTCTTTAACAACTCAAGTAATTTTATGAGCGCCTTGGTTAGAGTAGCATAGCAGTAAGGATGCAGTGAGCATGAATAATTGTCGGACACTGTTGTTCATCGGCTACCAAGAGCTCTCTGCTTGAAGATATTCAAGTCTTTGAGTTGCATAGAAACATGCGTCCAGCGAGAAGTCGACGGGTCGTACTCGCCCCGAACCTCGATCCTACAGAATCCTTTGGGGCCTTTGAGACCAACTGGACCGACGATAAAGAAGGTGCCGCGGCGGGGAGTGCGCAACTCGCGAGCCCAGCAATCATGTAACCGCCATTTAAAAGCTACTGCAGCCGCACGCAGATCCGACTCGGGACCTAAATTCGGCAGAGGTAACCATTGAAGAGAGGATAGAATTGACGAGGGATTCAGCCATAGGTTGTTTTGCTGTGTTACTCTCCCATGGGGCTCATCCGCAAAAGATAGTTGAGACCCCGTTTTGTGAAAACCAGCGGAACCGTCAATGAGCCCTGTAAACCCGGTCCCGGATGGCGGCATGACCAGTGAATCAGTGCCGAATTGAATTTTATCAGACACCTGGAAACCGATGCGCGAAAGCTGTCTTTTCATTAAGACAAGATATGCGTCTCTTGCAGCGAGTGCCACAAAGAGAGGCTTCATGCATTTTCGGATACGATCACCGGTATCTGAGGACACCGGTCTCACGGCCCACGAAAGTTCAGTATCAGCTATTTCTAACCTGACGATAATGAGTATATTAGGATATGGCATGATGTTGTCTTTGATAGGACGTACCCTGACAATGCATATTCAGGTGGGGCACGAGACGGGAAGTGGTGAACGAGCCAGAAACCGGTCATGGTCAGCGGTCCACCAAGAAGTTGAAGAAGTATGTTTGATGCGGATGCATTGCGCAGAGCTATGGTTGCTAGGTCATCTGGGCGAGTAAGCATTACTTCGAAAGCGTTATTACACTAGTTGGGAGATACCTTTCAGCGACTCGAGCTTCCTTCCATCCCGAGACATACGAACGAACTCTCTCCACTCCGGGTCCGACGAGGAATAGAACTTGCCTTCACGCAGGCGCGGCCAACCCAAAGGAATGAAAAAAGGATCTGAGGCCGCAGCCTCCTCCGGACGGCGCACAGTTCGTTCAGTGGCCGTAACTTTATTTTCTGGTACGTCTTTCTCGGGAAGAACCTCATCTGGTGCGCTTTCAAGCATCTTATCGTATTCCCCAAGGACAAAAGAACCCCAGATATGAAATGCGGTCCCATATAGCAGACATGTAGTAACAAACTTTCTGGCAACTCAGGTCAATTTTGCCGTGCAAGGCTCCGCAAAGGGGGTGGCGGACTACACACTTAAACCAAGGTCGTTTAAATCTCACATGGCGAACATTTACGTTGTTGGCATCGCTCTGGGAAAAAGAATGACTGGCACGAAAGGGTATTCGAAAAAGAAAGAGCCGTGGCCTCATTCGGAACATCTGGTATGACTTTGCGGCGGTCTCTCTAAGCCGAATATCATACTCAAGGATAGGGATGGCAACTGATTGTGGTCTTCGATTTGGACAGAAACGTCATGAAGCTTCCGTCAAATATATGTCCCTTAAAAAGAAAAATAGTGAAGTGGGAGATGGGCTGGAGAGGTGAAGGTGAAGATAAAAAGAAAAGAAAGAAAAATGATAGATACTGAGGGTACACAGACTGCTGGGTCAATTAAAGCGAGAAAATGTCAATGTCAGCTGCACGAGCTCTTGGTTGTGAATGGGAGATGATCCCATTGCTCAACTTAAGTTTTAAAGGTGTCTGATCTGATCATGCCTGCACATGATTAACTATCTCGTCACATAGATTACCTAAGTCGTGCTACCTTAGCTAGCTGGACATAGCTGCCAAAATACAGAGTACGCCGATCTAGGTAGCGGATCTGGAGGAATCAGCCCACGATCTTTTGTCCAATTTACTCTATCAACATGCACAAATATCTTGGTTTTTTTGCTCTGTCAGCGACTTTTACATCGCGTATCAGCAATCCAGATGCATCCATCTTCGCACTAGATTCAAGCGCCAATGCAGGAGGCTCAGAGATTCCGTTTCTATCAAATGATACTGCCCAACTACTCCTGAGTTATCGAATGAGGTCCTCGACCACAACAGCCCTCAGGACAGTTGATCGAGGTATTGTTGAGATTTTGGATAGATATGGAGGAATGCAGCCGTCGTTGTTCGGTACTTCAAGTGATGACCAGGACTTAAGATCCAGTTTGATCATTCTGCATGGGCTAGACCCTGTCATTGGTAGGTCTTTCCAGATATGCTGATATTGTGAAGCAACCACTCATTTTTCAATAATTATTTCGGTAGAATCTTCCATTCAAAAGGAATACCAGCAAGACCTAGTCCATTGCGACTCTCGAGCTACGTTTTTGCATAACAATCCCCTCAACTGGAACATCGATGGCGAATCGGAAGATGATGCTGGAACAGCCGATGGTCATTGCCTGAAGTATCTTGACAGCGAGGAAATGAAACGAGAAAATGTGCAGGTAGCCGAAACCCGATATCGATTGCTGGCGCGGGCTGTATTAAAGAGGTATTCGAACTGACTTGCGATAAACCCTAGACACTCTTATCTTGCCTACCTACCGCGTCAGCTTTCAAGCCAGTGGCACACGCATTTGGCCAACAATTACCTGAGTACGTCAATATCTTGGAATCATGGGTTAACGATCAAGAGCCCTTGATCTTGAAGTTATCATTCAAGGTACTCCTTTGTCTATACCTATCAGTTCTCTTGTATTTGACAGACATTGCAGGCTTTCTCCGGATCAACACATCACACAGAACTGCTTGGCTTGCTGAAACCTCTTATGAGTGATCTCCATTCGCTGTCTTCGAATGGTACAGCAGTGACTGTTATATTCATGCCGGACTCCCAAAATTCCCGAATGCCGCAAAGCCCAAGTCGTCGTGGTAACCATGACGCCAAAACCTTACAAATTGACATGGTATCTCCGTCATTGTTGAGAAGGCAGTCGCCCGGTTCAACGTCTCCGAATCCAACCTGCCATGTCACCAATTCATCTTGTAACGAAGCAACCGGCGGTTGTTCGGGACATGGGGCTTGTTATAGGAAGTCGGAGTCAAAGAGCGGACTTACCAACAATGACTGTTTTGTATGCAAATGCCAGGCAACAACCATCAGAAAAGAGGATGGTACGACCCAGATTATCCGATGGGGCGGCGCGGCTTGTGAAAAGCAAGATATCAGCTCTCCCTTCTTCCTTTTAGCAACTGTTAGCATCATGGTAATAATGGCGCTGGGCGGTGCTATTGGAATGCTATTCAGGGTTGGGCAAGATGACCTGCCGGGCGTCATCAGCGCTGGGGTTGGATCCACGAAAGCACAGGGATAAGAACCTCTTTGGGGGTTGACCCTATGAAGTGTTGCTGCGAGACATTTGGTTGAGGGCGACGCTGTGCCAGTGTTCACTACACAAAGCTGACCGCGCAGGGTGGTGCTGTCATGTTTTGCTATTGATGTGGCTTCGAAATTGTTATTTTGGCTTTTTTTTTTTTTTTTTTTTTTTTTTTCCTTGTTTTGAGACTAAACTGTCAGATTCTCCGAGATCCTCAGGGCCTGACCTGCTTATACCTACATTGAAGACTACCAACATTATTTGGTAAAAACGAAGGCGTAAAGGAGAAATAAATCCTTGCATGTGAGCAATTGTTTCGCTGAAGCAAATCCAAGCGGCCCTTGGAACGGGCCTAGTCTCTTTGAGACGAGGTGTTCATCGACGCCATCCAGGGCGGACAGAATGAAGTATGTGGGGTCCTGCGAGAGAAGGCAGAAAGAATATCTGAGTGACTCTTGAGTCCGCTCATTGATAAAACCATACCGGGGACATTGACCACTTTTGAGGCGAATTTCGGGACTCGCCATAATTCAAGCAAACAAGTTCATCGATCAAGTAGTCGAGGAGCATTAGACCTGCGTACGATATGACTAGCTGCGTTTTAAGAACGTAAGCCTGCTTCGACTTCTGCAGGACTCCGACCGTCACTCGGTTGAGAAACACCTATGGTCGTACCCGCATTCCTCGGTGCACGTTGCCAACTTGAGGGCGGAAGTCGGAGAGAGTTGCGAAAACGAGGGAACAACCGCCAAGATCCCCATGGCTGAGGTCTGGAGTTTTCTGACCTCGTGTCAGATGCATTGTGCGCCATGGACGAATCGACATTGAGTGCACCCGACAGCTGCGATGGCGGGATTCCATCGCGTTGCATAAGTCGCTGGGGCAATATCGTTGTTTGACGAAATAGATTCGATCGCCATCCTATAAAGACAGGCCGCGGTCGGCTAGGAGCATGCATCCCCACCATACTACGGCGATCCGTGCTTGCACGCTCTGCCACAGGATCAGAGCGAGGTTTAGGAGTGAAGTAATCCGCTTTGCAGAGTGGACAGCAGGCCCTCCGACTTGTCAACCATGGGTCAACGCAGGATGCGTGGAAAGCATGACCGCACGTCAGCCCACGTATGTCATCGTCATCCTCGATCGCATCAAGGCATATTGCACAGGAGTCTCCGGCAGTGGGAAGAAGCTCGGCCGGTGTTGCAGTCCGGATGTGATGATCGGCGTCTCCGATGTCTTCCAACCCATGGTATTCACAACCGTCCTGATCATGTACGTGTTTCATCTCATGGTTGGTGTACCTTGTTACCTCACGAGTGTGCGTGCAATCAGCAAAAACTGGACGACCATCGGACTTTTCGTTTAACTGAGCGAATGGTGTTCCAGCATCTGGTGCGACTGTTGAAGGTTGTACGATGGCGGACCCAATCTGCCGCTGACTATCCGTCGATGCAGGCTTCACTAATGATGGCGATACACTAGTACCTACGACCAAAGTGCCGTTCTTAATGTTTGGACTGCTGTCGGCTGCGGATATCACCTCTGCGGTCGGAATGTTGGCGTTTGCCCGCGTCGACCTCCATGCCTTGTACTTTATGAGTGGAAACCGCAAATTAACTTCGTCCATGGTCATCAACTTCTTTTCCCTTCTTCGTCTATGCGTACGGGGCATAGTAACCAAGTCTATCGGTTCTCCGATTTCTTCGCTTCGTAGCTGGCGATTCCGTTGATTATATCGAAAGCAATACTTGACACCAACGATGATCCTAGCATCAAACCTCAGATATGAATCGATGCGCACGAAGTACGGACAATGCCTCTCTGAACATACCATAGATTCGTGAAGACGACCCCGAAACCAAGGGCAACAAAAAACAATAGCGGAGAATTCGTAGGGCTTGAACTGGAATCAGCAGCTCGATCGCTGTTTGTGGAGCCCGAAGGAGGAACAGGGCTTGTGGAGGACATCTTCGGGTTAAGATGTCACAATTGCAGGACTGATGTTGGCAATGCAGTATCACTTAACAAAAGAAAATGATGAACCTATTGAAAGGTGGGAGGGAGAGACCACTCCGATTGTTCGTTCATTGACCGGGTAAAGACACGTAGTCGCTGGCGAGTAAAATTTCAGTTCTTTCAAGACACTTCGAGTGAGTATAAAGACCTTGGAAGGAGAATGATGCTTTTGTAGATAAAGATTGTGTATATCCACTCATCTGGGGGAGCGTATGACTCCAGTTACACTTAAAGCTGTGCACCTGGGGAGTCATCACTAAACATGCTGTGTGTTTAGGTCAACTTGCTGAATGGTTCTTCTTTATCTTCCTTCTTGCCCTTCTCTGTTTGGCACTGAATCCCTCTGTATGTTCTCATACTCTCCAAGTTTGTCCGGGATTCCGTGTTGGGTTGTTAAAGGGTACCATGTTTCGCAGAAATAGAATTAACGGAGATGCTAATCAAATATAGTTTGGGTCACGAGGTCTCTTACACATATATAAGCTTAAGGAAATGAGAAGAACAGAAACATTCCTTTCAGGCACAGAAGAAATTATACAGTACGAGTAAAGGGCATTAATTTATATACCTTCCTTAAGTCATATTCTGCATCTCATTATTACTACTGGTAACGACCAGGTTGTTAATAGACCTTTATAGCTATTAGACTTCATGGCGTAGTATAATGCTGTTATCACCTACATAGACGTGCCTCAACATGAAAGGGAGGGAGAGAAAGTGGGGGAGGGACTGTTGACCTGTACATAATAGAAGTGTCCTTAAGGTACACTGGAGATGGATGCTTCAGGCACTTCAGCTACCAAAGTGACAATATAGTTAGATATGCACTAGCTCTCTACAGTAGTATGAAGAATATTAGAATTTTCTTTTCCCTTTCCAAGGGGGAATAAGTCTTTCCTTCCTAGTCTTTTTCTTTCTCCCTCCTTGTTTTCTTTCTTTTTCCCTTTTTGGGAGTAGTCTGTACCTAATCCATAAAATCACCACCTACAGAAAAGTATATAGAAGGTTTACCACTTTAAAACAAAAATATCAGTAATTGTCTGTTATTCCCCAGGTCGCGTTTTCATCACATCAAAATGGAAGATATTCATTCAGATCCAGCGAGGAACACCAATCCAATCGTTTTTTTCGACATTACCCTAGGAGGTGAGCTTACAGTATCTGATGTTTTATCCCAGCTTATACCAGAAAGTGAAGGTGTTATTACTTGCACCCGGCCATTGTGTCCCCCCTTGACATGCTTGCTAGCATATTTAGGTTATCGCGATCAATCAGATTCAAATTTCTATCTACCATGATCCCGTAACTGACATTTAGTCGCAATAGGCGAGCCGCTAGGTCGCATAAAAATGGAGTTATTCGCAGATGTCACTCCTAGAACAGCCGAAAATTTCCGCAGATTCTGCACAGGTGAAAGCAAAAACTCCCAAGGAAAGCCGCAAGGATACAAGAACAGCAAGTTTCACCGAGTAGTACGTCCACAGTCCTTCGTGTCGGCGCAGAAAGCTAATCCGAAACCGCTTTCAAGATCAAAGATTTTATGATACAAGGAGGCGACTTTGTCAATGGAGATGGAACAGGATCCTGTACCATTTATGGTACCCCCAAATTTCCAGATGAGAACTTTGTTCTGAAGCATGATCGTGCGGGTCTGTTAAGCATGGCTGTAAGTTGACCCAGGTACTGTTGAGTTGCGGATGGTGCTGAGTGCTACAGAACTCTGGGCCAAATACAAATGGCTCCCAGTTCTTTATAACAACTACAGCGACTCCATTCTTGAATGGGAAGCATGTTGTGTTTGGGCAGGTAGTGGATGGCATGGATATCGTGCGGATGATCGAAAACACACGCACAATTAGGGACAAGCCAAGCCAAGATGTGATCATTATACAATGCGGAGAGATTTGAGGGGTAAAACGGGAAACGAGTTGATATTCGGGTCAAATTGCGGACTAGCAGACGGCGCATTGAAGGGCTGCTGTAGTTGCATGTGCGGAACTTGTGCTGGTTGAGAGCCTGATAGATGCGGACTATACGGTGACGGTTCTTCTTTTGACATTCGAAACTCAGTCGCACAGAACCCTTAAAGCTTGAACTTTGCCAAGTAATCAGAAGCCAATGCAATTGCATCTTCAATCTTGTCCGGATGCACGCCATTGCCGATAGACGTTGAACCCTTCCCACCAGCTTTCCCTCCCACAGCGCTAGAAACAACCGCAGCCAAGTCGTTGGCCGAGGCCCCTTGGTCAAGCAATGCCTACAATGGAAGATTTCATGAGACTTGGCTTCCGGTTCATGTGGAAACACGAGGGAAGACTCACCTTTGAAACGTAGCAACCATGAGCAACGCGACCCTGTTCCGAATCGGCGGCTAGGACATAGACAGTCTTATCTTGCAACTTAGACTTAACAAAGTTTAACGACTCGCTCACGGCTTTCGCGTTCGCAGAAATAGGAAGCCTGGTCACCAAACAGGTCTTCCCTTCGTTCGTCGGGGATTCGAAGTATGAAATGATCGCCTCAAGCGCCTTCTTAGCCTCGAGTTTCTGTTGCGCTTTTTGTCCGTCAATGACTTGCTTGTTAATAGATGCAAAACGCTCTCGAAAACGAGATTTCTGGACCGCAGAGATCGAGAGTTGGTTTAGTTCAACTTGTATCTGCTTGGCTTCCTGTTCTTTCTGCGGCCCCAAAACCATTGCATCCAGGCGATCGAGCCGCCTCTCGAATTCTTTGGCAACTCGCTGTACTTCATGGGCGTCCTCCCCAGTCACGGCGATGACCCGACGAATTCCCTTAGCAATGCCGTTTTCTTCCAGGATGATTAGGTCCTTAATGTCTCCTGTCTTCTGGACGTGAGTTCCACCACAAAATTCTATGCTGACTTCAAGCCAGCGAGGATCTTCCACATTCTTCAATATCTCCTCCACCTCCACACCAACAGAAACGACCCGGACGGGATCAGGGTACGTCTCGCCAAAGACAGCTCTAACACCGGAGATCCGGCGAGCAGTTGCAAGAGGAACATCTTGGGAGTAAACATCACAGTTTTGGCGGATATACTCGGTCGATATTTCCTCGATTTTCTCTAACTCTTTCTCTGTGACTGCAGACTTGTGAGAGAAATCAAACCTGAGTTTTTCAGCAGCAACAAGGGAGCCCTTTTGCTCGACAGAATCTCCAAGAACTCTTCTGAGCGCAAAGTTGAGGATGTGTGTGCCCGTATGATTATTTCGGATGGGCCAGCGACGAAGCTCATCGTATTCACACAGAACGGCGTCACCGATTGAGAAAGAACCGTACTTCATGAAGCCAGTATGGAGGACATAGCCAGCGTAAAGCTGAACATCACCAACTTCTAGCTCAGCCCGTCCGTCGATAATGATTCTGCCGGTATCGTTCTCTTGTCCACCTTGTTCAGCATAAAAGTTCGTGCGGTCCAGAATGATGCCTATCTGATCCCCATCTGGTATCTGCGCCGTCGATGAATGGAAGTTCTTTCCGTGGTAAATCGCTTTGATTTCAGCAGTAATGTTACCCTTTCCGAATTTGGCGCTGTCGTCTGTTTTGGGAACGTCATTCATTTTCTCCAGCTTTCCCAGGTCATGAACGTCCAGTTTGACAGTTCCTGTTGCCGACTTCTTTTGTCCTTTACTAGCCTCCTTGGCTCTCAAACGCGCTTCTTCGAATTCGAGGTCATCAATATTTAACCCACGCTCTTCCGCCATGAGACGGGTTAAGTCAACCGGGAAACCGAAGGTGTCATACAGGCGCCAAACGTCAGCACCATGAAGCTTGTCATCGCCTTTGATCTTTGCTTGCTGAGCATAGTTCTCGAACTGTCGCTCACCGCGATCTAAGGTTTTGGCGAATGAGATCTCTTCCTCATCCAATATTTCCATGACATCGTGCTGCTTTTTCTTCAGCTCGGGGAACATGCCTCCGAGCTGTTCGACGAGTGTTGGGACAATTTTCGAGAAGAAATTTCCAATCTCAACCTGGAAGTATTTCCGGGCATAGCGAGCACCCCGGCGCAAAACACGTCGAACAACATATCCACGACCATCACTGTTCGGCGTCACACCATCTGAGATGGCGAAAGTCAATGTTCTAACGTGATCTGCGACAACACGATAAGCCGTGTCGATGCCATCAGAATCATCGGCACCAAACATTCCTCGATATTCCCGGGCTCCGGTGATGTTCTTTATAGCATTGAAAAGGGGAGAGAACACGTCAGTATCATAATTTGACGATTTGTCCTGAAGCACTGAGACTAATCTCTCGAATCCCATTCCAGTGTCGACGTGCTTATTTGGCAGAGGCCTCAAAGACCGATCAGACTCGCGATTATACTGAATGAACACGTTGTTCCATATTTCAAGAACGTTGGGATCATCTTGGTTGACAAGATGAGCGGCATTGCGGCCGCCAATCCGATCATAATGAATCTCACTACAGGGCCCACAAGGGCCCTGATCGCCCATTTCCCAGAAATTGTCCTTCATGTTTCCTGGAAGGATATGATCCTCTGGAACACCCGCAGCTCTCCATAGAGCTTTTGCCTCTAGGTCGGGTTCGAGTCCACCCTCTTCGTGACCTTCAAAGTAGGTGACATAGAGGCGTTGAGGGTCCAAACCGTAAACCTTCGTCAAAAGTTCCCAAGAGTACCGGATTGCATCTTCCTTGAAATAGTCGCCAAAGCTCCAGTTTCCGAGCATCTCGAAGAAAGTCTAGCCATTCATTAATATCCCTCGTTAGCGTAGGAGCTGCTTCACCTTGGCAAACTTGACTCACATGGTGGTAACTGTCCTTTCCCACGTCGTCCAAATCCTGTATTCGCCTTGGTCAGACTGTTATCTCGCCTCTCGAATCACATGTCTAACTTACATTGTGCTTCCCGCCAGCACGAATGCACTGCCATTGATTTTTAGTGACCAGTTTGATATCGAGGAGGGTTAGAGAGTGACCTTCTGAGAGTTTACTGCGCTTTTCAGTTTTGCAAAATCAGAATGCGGATCCACGGTGCCCAGGAAGATGGACTTGAACTGATTCATTCCAGCATTTGTGAAAAGCAATGTTGGATCCGAGAGAGGTACGACAGGAGAAGATGGAACTTAACATTGTCAGTTGATTGGTGAAGAGCCGACAAAGGCCCCAAATACGTACCGAATGTATGGCCATTTTGTCTGAAATAATCAAGGAATGTGTCGCGAACGCGTTTGGCAGTCCATTCTGGACTGCCTTCGGAATCTGAAGTCATTCTGAAGGGTCGATAGTTCGTACGGTGTTGATTTTGTTCTGGGGTATGTGTAGTGTGAAGGTGGTAGAATCTTCTGGGGTTTGACCTAAACGGTAACAGCGGATGACTCAAGGCCATATCCCCATTTCTCGTAATTCTGGAAATTCGCATCAAGTAAAGGTCGATAATTCCTTGATCCTTCTCAGACTAAAGATAGTGGATACTAATGACTGATCTTAATCTCAAAAAGAATACTTGATCGATAATATTCTCTTGCACATATCGTATCTTGGTGGTGGTGGGAGGTGTGAGTTCCTGATGACTGAGGCACCCCAGCATGGGAAAAAGCGACCCGCAGAAAATGATCCTGATGGTGACCAACCTCTGGCAAAGAAGTTCGGACTGCTGCAAATAGGTATGTTTGTCCAGTAATACTTTGAGTCTATCATCCATCAACATCGGCATTCAAATTTCGCTGTATAGTCGTACATTGACTAAGACTCCCATTTAGAACCGCGTTTGTTCGGCACACCTCAGATAAGTGGTGGGGGTACATCTCCAACTCAGTCAAATCCATTTGATACGACTGAGCGGATGATGTTGGATGACACTAAGCATACAATATACATTCATGATCTTGATTCTGAGCTAGCAGATTCTGAGGCTCAGGAGTACTCAATCACCTTTTTGCCCGAAATTGGAGCCAAGTTGGGGTCTTTGTCGAAGTTATTGACTGTTGATACACAACCTCAGAACAACGAATTGGTCCTCTACAGAGATCCCAAATCTCTGACCGTTCCAGAGGAGGATGATTATGTGCGGAGAGCCATCCTTGAGTCCAGGAGACGAGCAAGAGCAGCTCAGACTCAGCGCAGATCTTCAGAGAAAATAGTGAAAGAAGTTAAGTCGAATCTGGTGTGCAATGCTGATGAAGATGTAATGGAGATAGATCATACTATTTAATATGATCTGTATTTTATTATGTGTCTTTTTCTTAGAGATGTATGCTTTTATAGCAGTGGTTGATACCTAAAGATAATATAATTTAAAGACTTTTAAATAGAAAGATAGTTAGCTATATCTATAAGGTATACAATATCTTATAGCTTAAGCTAGTAGCTTTATCTATAGCTGCTATAGTTAATAAGATTAAATATAGCCTTCTATATTAATAATTAGGCTATATTAGTATTATAGAGATAGCCTTAACTCTTAGGTATATTAATAAGTTTAAAATGACTGTCGCCCTCCGTAAGCCGGGCAAGCCGGACTACTCTGTGCCGAAGGCATACTGGCTAATTGCCCTGCTTAACACCCTGAGCAAGCTGCTTGAGGCCCTGATCACCACCTAGCTAAGCTATCTAGCTAAGGCTGAATCATCTCTCCTTACTTACTTATATAGCTTATCTCTCTTACTAGATTCTA